CTATGTAATTTACTAGCCATTCTTTTTCAATTTAAGTTTAGAAATTGCTTCCAGTTTCACTAATATCACAGTGAATATTTCGCACACGTGCAAAGTGGTATTTTCCAGCTATAATATTCTCCATCTCATTAGTCCTAGCTTTGGCTAATTGTAAATATCAAATCCATCACTAATTGATAAATATTCAACATTTGTAGTTCTGCAGGCAATTTTGAAATAGTTTTCCCAAAGTGGTTTTGAACAATTGGGAAAACTGTGTGTCCTCCAAAAATAAGTTCTTTTAAAAATGCCCCCGATGATTAATTACATAAGTATGTTGTGTATCTTCCAGGCTTTAGCAGGAATAAGTCACATGGCTCCGTGCTTTCTTATCGCACGTTCAGTGTTACCAGCCACACGCCAACGTTTTTGGGAATAGGGACTAAACCTCCCATGCGCGGCTCTGCCACTGCACGTAAGTCCTCGCTGAACATGGAAGACGGTTCTCGGAAACAGAGACTTACGCTAAACAACGTGTGACAGGAACAGTTTCTCCACAGGCTGATTGATACGAACAAGAGTTAAGTTCCTGCGGCATGTTTCCGGTCACAAAAACATGCAAACTTCTAGATGAAGACCAGGGATTTCTAATAGTAAACACTGAAATAAATGTGAGCATACGTACTTTTAAGAAAGATTAATGAAAACAAATAAGATAATTATTTACGCGCTTATTCCAGTTCAGGGTCACGGTGGCCAGAGCCCATCCTGGCGGCTCAGGGCAGAGGTGGGAACCAGCCCTGGGCAGGGCCACGCGCACACCCACACGCGCGCGCGCACACACACACACACACTCACATTCACACACACGCACACACCCACACTCACACCCACATTCACACACACGCACACACACGCACTCACACTCACACACTCACACACACGCACACACCCACACACACACACTCAAACCCACACACCTACGCCCGCGCTCACGCACGCCCGCACCCACGCTGGGACAGCGCGCACGGGCCGGTTCTCGAAAGCCCGCAGCTGGGGACGCACCGGGAGACGGGCCGAGCGGGAGGGGTGCGGAGCGCGCGCGGACGCGGCCGCGGGGAAGGCATGTTTCTCCTGTGCATCGCGAGCGGCGTCACCGACAGAAGGCGTTAGCGGGGGACGCGCTCCGCGTGGACGCGGCCTTGGCGAGGCCGCGCGGAGAGGACGGGAGAGACGGCCCTGGGCCTGTTAGCGCGGGCTGTGACAGCTGCGCGTGGCAGAGGATCCCAGAGAAGCGCAGCGTCCCCTCAGCTGAAACAGTCGCCTCCTCGGACACCGTCCGCCGAACAGTCCCGCGTCCCCCATTCGCGGAGCCGCTGCCGGTCTCAGCCCGTAGATGGCGCTGCGCTCTCGGCTCCTGATCGCCCCGAGCCCGGCCCGTCCACGGAGCGGACTGCGTGGCTGTTCCCGGCCCTGTGCCGTGCTGCCGCGGGCGGGGCCGCCTGCACCGCGGAGGAGCCGGTGGTGTCCGCGCGGGGAGCGCCGGAGCCGCGCGGAACAGCCGGAACAGCCGGAACAGCCGTGCCAGGGCGGCGTCCGCGCCGGGACTTCCGACTCGCTTGAGGGACAAACGTGTGTGCGTGCGTTTTTTTAACTGGGAAGGAAACAATTCTGAGAATATCGTTGCAATGTATCAGGACGCCTGCATGGTGTATCCGATTCTGTATCTGGAGAAAGAAATAGTATCAAAAAGTAAAAATTATGATTCATGGTTTACTGTATTTCTTTATGTCTTATAACATTAATTCTAAATTGTCTGGCTAATAGAAGATATTTGTGCAAACAATCAAAGATGATAGAAACTCAACTAGTTGGAAATATTTCCCATCTATAATGCTTGCCTTTATATTTAATTATTAATAGCCTTATTTTTATCTAATGTTCCCTTGATATATATTGTTCCCACAATGTGTAAGGCTCTAATAAGTCTTCTGTTCTTTTCTTACTTCTAAGCATTTAGATCCATGACTAGGAAATAATATGATATAGACCAAAAGCAGTGAATAGCGTCAGCCCACGAAACTATCTCGGGAAATGAGGTGGAACCTCATAGAGAGACCCTCGTGAGAGGAGTCGGAAAATCCGGCATCGCACACCCACGTAACTGGAAATTGCTGTGGCGGCAAACCGAGGACACCTAAGTGTTTGAAGATGCGCTTGACTTATACAGCTGTTTTTCATGTAGCACACGCTTCTCACATAATGCTGTAGTGAAGCAGCTGTCATAGAGTCACAGAATTTCAGATTTTCAAGAGAGTTCGTAGTTCTTCCAGAGCAGCCACCAAGCAATAGGGCCATGTCTGTGCTGCATGATTTGCACCATATCCAAGCACCTGCATTTAATAACTTACACTGAGCCTCACGATTCAAATGTCTACATTTCAACAAGTTTAGGACAGGTCAAATGATATATATATACACATATATAGTTTTGTCTTTTAAAAATATCCTTCTAATTTTATATTCATTCAATGTTTATGATTGTTAATTCTGAGTAGTGAGATTTAATTTTTTCTTCTTGTGTTCTGCATTGCTTACATTCTTTATAGTAAACATGTTTTTACACACACACGCAAAAACAAATATAAAAAGCCCTCCGCAGGAAGCCTTCCCTTGAACTCTTTACTGTTTCTCACTTGAAGATTCCCTCTTCCCTCCGGATTCCGTGGTATTCTGGTGGACTTTATGATATAACTTACCATCTTCGCCCTTGAATGCACCGTGCGTATGTCTTACATTTCATTCACGGTGGTAAAACCACCTGTAGTGCAGCACGTGGCTCTACCCGGCAGCTTACTGGACAGGACACAAAGGGAAGGCGGCCAAGGGCGGTCACACGGAAACCACGGGGAGAACAGGACCGTGGAGCGGGGCTGAGGGGCTCACTGGCTGTGGAAGGGGAAGGAGAGGAACACTCTGCTTGTTAACTCACCTTCATTGTGGTTGTGTTCAAAGCCATCGAAGACTTTGGAGCAACCGCGGGAGACACAAGGCCGAGGATGTCAGTGGCTGCGCGCCTTCGGGCAGTGTAGACCATTTGGGTCTGGCCACGTGAGACCCAAGGAACAAGGCTGAGTCAGTGCCTGGTGCGGGGGAAGGGACCTCCGAAAGGGAATCCCAAGAGTTCTATAGAATTTCCTCTTAGGGGTCTAAAAATCCTAAATTAACTAGAGATATGATAATCTCAGCTCCGCTGAAACTAAGGTACTTCAAACATGCCGAATTATCCATTGAAACGCACACACTAGGATGCGCCCGGGTAGTCAGACCGCCCACCCGCGAGGCTAGCAGGTCAAACCCTAAAAGTCTCGAGGCTCTCCAGTGGCCAGGGTGCACGGGCTCAAAAGCCACATGGGAAAAAGGATTAAAACGCGGGCGGCTTAGGGACGCTGCATTTGGAAGGCTGTGGCTTAGGGACCCTGGCCACTGGATTGGCTGTGAGCAATGAAATCTGAGGCACGTATTGATACGAGATGGTGAAAATAATTTTGTCAACTTCACGAGCAAAATATATGGGATTTTTTCAGTCTGTACTCGGTCCCAGATATTAATAATTTTGAAATCTTTCTGTCAGTTTAAGAAATCTATTCATGGGATGGGGGAGGTAGTTTCTACAAATAAACTTTAGGTACAGATCACTCATGCTTTTCTGCATAGCAAGCTTATGTGGCTATTTGTTCTGTCTTCTAAAATGGGAGGATTCCTTATTCCCCTGTCAAAACCCAAATTCATAAATGACGAGAAGAAAAGATGGTATTCTGATTCACTCGTGGTAAGGATTCAAATTGAAATGACAGGCGTTAGAATTTATTTTGCTTTAGACAAGTGATAGTATTTCTAAATCTGTCCAGTTTCAAAGCAAGAACAATAAAATAATCTTAATACATGCACGCACATTATTTTTCACTGCCACATTGAAAAATGTACACTTGTTCAAAATTGCCAATTTGTCCTAAGACTGGAACGAAATAGAAACCCATATATCAAAGAAGGCATTGCAGTAAAGGTATAAATTATGAAAAATATCTGAAACAACAGTCTCTGACTTCCAGGTTAAACTACTGTTACTAGCTTAAGTTAAAATTTGTGTCACAAAATTAGTGGGTTAAATTACATTCAGTTAACCAAGCAGTCTGTATTTATTGAAAACATGCTATTAAATATTTGCCTCAGTTCTGGCTACATTATATCTCAAATGGGGTACGAAATTAGTCACCTTTGCAACCTGCATTGATTCACCCTTTACATTGCTATGAATTGTTACTACTGGAATTCAAATCAAATTGTATCACTTTCTTACTTAAAAACCCTTAGATGTCTGAGAGTAATCTCGTCTCTCCACCCAACTCTGTGTCTCAATACTCAGGTACCTCAACAACCAGGTTTTACCAGGCCACGTACTTACTTGTTCACGCATCCGGTTGGGGTAAATTTCTGCCCTGTCACGTGGGATCAGCTCTTTCCCCTAAATCCTCTTCTCTGGGCTCATTCATATTTGTCTGTTGGATTTATTTGTGTTTTGTTTTCCTACTACAAAACAATAAATGTGATAAGTATAATGATTGAAGGAATCTACTTCATTCCACTAACATAGCTATACTTCTAAGTATGAAAATACGGCCATCCCACAATCATTATATGGTTTTTGGTATATTTCAAATAGACAACTTTGTGTTTATTAATATCACTGAAATAGAATCCAAACTGAATTTAATTCTCAGTTTTATGTTCCTAATTCTACAAATCCATTGATAAATATTTTGGTATTGGCATATGTGTATTCATTTAACTATTAATAGAAATTATGGCTTAGTCTTGTTCTCATTAGCTACTTAATTTTCAACTGTCAGGCGGTGGGCACTGCACACTCTGGCCCAGCTGCCACGGAATTGCTGCGGCAGAGCTCGGCCAGTGTCCGAGTCCTCCTCCGGGCCCAGGCCGCTCACCCGCCGTGGGGAGGCACCTTTCCCCAATGGTTCTGGGCACACGGACAACAAACGGGAGGGCTGCCCTTCTTGATATTAATAATGTTTAATTGACGGCTCCATTGTGCCGAGTGTGGTCCTGTAGTGCTCAGTCCTGGCTGGCTCTGTCTAAAATAATAAACCATGGGGGTCACAGGCTGCCTCGAATGTTCTGCCGTTTGCTTATCCGCGCGAGAGAGAATTGAAATGGGATGCCTGTCAGGTATTTGTGTTTTCCTCTGCAGCTGTGAGCTTCAGCTGAATAACCTCTGCCCTGTCTACATCACCTAGATTTTTATGAATCCCAGAATCCAAATTCAAATATATCAGTTTTCTCTAATATGATTTTAGGGCCCCGTATTTGCAAAAAAGCTGTGTTGGCAAGTGCCGCTTGTAATTCCTCTTAATGGTGGAAATTGCCCCAAGACAGGTCTCGTTTCAGTTCCTGAAAACTAATCTCCAATTCCTAAGAAAATGCGTGCTGCTTGTTAAGAAGACAAATATTTTTAATTTGATTCTTGCATGTTTCTACCATTGGTTCCAGTGTCACCGTTTCCTGTCTGAAAAATAGATGATGTCATAGCAGAGGCCAGTGGATATTGTAAAATAAACTCAACCAGGTTTCTCTTGACGATCACACGCAATTGGGACATCTGTTTAACAGACTTGTGTGTGTCTCGTTGTAACTTGAACACATAGAAGATACTTTGGTTTCATTTATCCATAAAAAATGTTGAACCTTTAACGTGAGTTACGACAATCTCCTTCTCCTTGACTCTTCCCACCAGGTACAAGGCACCATCTTCCCAGCGCCCAATTTCAACCCCGTCCTGGACGCCCAGGTGCTGGGGGCGGCTCTCCAAGGGTTTGGTAAGTCTGATATTTCTACTGACTTTTATTGTAATTTCTTTTGTTTGACTTTCTTAGAAGACTATACTATGGGTGTGAAATAGCTGATGTCTTACAAAAGGCAGACACAGATTAAACAAAAAACTGGGCAGAGGAGTGGAATGAGAAGTAAAGTGATAGAGAAAGAGGACAACGGTGAACAGGCTCGCCTGGAGAAATCGCAAGTCTAGTTTTGACATGTTTCACTGAAATCCTTAAATGCCTCATCCCCAACCACTAAACGAAATCCCAAACTGAAATAAATATTTTAATCGAGGGTAAAACATCCTTTTTTGACTCTTACCATTTTTTCTTTCTCCTTCCACTTCCAGTCAAATCAAACTTGTGGTTATTCCCCCAATGGCTCTGCTTTTATTTTACTTCTTTGTAACATCTCTATAAATTGGTCTAATTATGGCATTTTCTTCTCTCATCTGCTTTTCATCCAAATTCTCTTCTCTCAAGAGTCTATTCAGATGAGCCTCCCTCTTTGAGCCCTTCCCTGGGCGCTGCAAGCCTGACCTGCCGGGCCGGGCCCCACAGCTTCCCGCCTCTCGGGCCCCAGCTTCTGTGCGCTGCGCTGGTGTTTTCTCCGCTGCTGTCTACGCTAGAACTCCTAGAGCTTGGAGTTTGGCATACAGGTGCTTAATAATAAATGAGACTAGAGTTTAGAAAAAGAATAGAGAGAGAAGAAGGGAGGGAAACTGTTGGGTTCTTTTTTTAAAAAGATCTAATCTTTAAGATAGGATATGGAGGTGTGAAACATCCATATAGTTTCCCAAAACAAAACCTGTTTTAAGAAGACTTCTGAAGAGCACAAAGATAAACAGAGACAGCATAAAAGCGATGTTTGCATAAAACATGCAAAGCCTTTCATGAGAAAGCAAGCTCTCAACTTTAAAGACGAGGCTGCCTGCGGGAGCTGCCTGAGTGCATATCTGGGTGTTTCTCTCACCGGCAGCATCCCTTAGGAAAACGATAAAGAACTTTAAATACGCTCTCTAAAGCCGACGTTAGGAGTCTGCAACGCTTTTATGCCTTTTAAAATATAAATCATCACTAGAAAAATATAAAGACAAGGTAATGAAAAGTTACGAATTAACTTTTTCTTCTGGAGTGCAATTTTTGGTTTAAAACTATAAATCGCAGCAATCTATTCACTCAAAAGTTTTTCTTTGCTCCAGTTTCAATTTTCCTGTCATTGCAATTTTAGAGTCAGAATATGAATTCATTGTGACCATCGTAATTCGTTGCTTGTCCGTGTTTTCGGCTGAAGTATTTCAGGAGGTTTTGGTTTTGATTGCATGCTGTCCACCCGAGCACGCCGGAGCAAGAGCGCAGCTCAAAATGCTTTAATAGTATCCGTCCGAGGACCGTGGCAGAGTGCGACTAAAAAAGACAATTACGAAGCTTTTCCCTTCCCTGGCTACCGTGTTTTATTTAGAAGAGGCCAAAAGCAAAAATGTATTCTAAAGCAAATGAAAATGAGTAGTTTCAACAGAAATTGCCTGAAATTACAGAAAAATTCACTAATCATCTAAAAAGGAACACTTCTCACTAACATCCCCGAATACTGCTGTCTGCTTTCCAATTCCTCACCTTTAGAAGCGGCTTCCCCTGCCCGTGCAGTCCTAGAACTGGATTTATTTTGTGTCTGTTCATGTATGTGATTGTCAGGTCAGCCCTGCGAGGTCCTGGTCAAGTGGAACCATTTTTAACCTACATTCCTAAATCTTGAAAAAGGAGCACACAAGTCAAAATTAATCTTTTTTGAAACACTCAGTGCTGTGCAGAATGGACACCCTCTCCTTGTTCCTGATCTTTCGCACCCTTCACCATGAGGCTGGCTGGTTTTTTGATGTTCTTTATCAAGCTGAGGAGGGTCCCTTCTATTCTCAGTTTGCTAAGAGTTTTTATGTTGAATAGGTGTTGGACTTTGTCAGATGCTTTTCTGCATCTATAAATATGTTCATATGGTTTTTTCCTTTAGGATGACATTAATTGATATCAGACTGTTGAACTAGCCTTGCATATATGAAAAATAAATCCCACTTAATCGTGAAGTATAATTCTTTTTATACAATGTTTGATTTGATTTGATAATTTTTTTTGAAGATTCTTGCATATCTGTTCATGAGAGGTGTTGGTCAGTAGTTTTCTTATAACGTCTTACTCTGGTTTTGGTGTTAAAGTAATGCTGTCACCATAGAATGAGTTAGAAAGTGCTCCTCCTGCTTCTACTTTCTGAAAGAAATTGTAGAGAATTGCATTTCTTCTGTAAAATTTTGGTAGAATCCACCAGTGAACCCATCTGGGCCTAGAGCCTTCTATTTTGTCAGGTCATTAATTCTTGGTTCAATTTCTTTAATACATACAGGCCTACTCATATTGTCTATTTTTCCTTGTATGAGTTTGAGTAGAGTGTGTCTTTGAAGGAATTGATCCATCTCATCTAGACCATCAAATGTGTGTTCTGAGAGTTGTTCATATATAGTTTTATCATTTTAATGTCTATGAGATCAGTAGAGATGGCCTCTTTTTTATTTCTGATATTAGTGATTTGTGTCTCTCTCTGCTTTTCTTAGTTAGCTGGCTAAGGCTTATAGATTTTATTGATCTTTTCAAAGACCCAACTTTTGGTGTCATTGATTTTTTTCTATTTGATTTTCTGGTTTTAATTTCATTTCTACTCTAATTTTTATTATTTCTTTTCTTCTGTTTACTTTAGATTTATTTTTCATACTGTTCTGATTTCCTCAGGTGAAAGCTTAGATTATTGATTTCAGATCTTTCTTTTTTTCACATATATGCATTCAATGTTATAAATTTTTCTCTAAGTATTATGTTCACTGTATCTCACAAATTTTGATAAGTTGTGTTTTCATTTTCATTTTGTTTGAAATTTTTTAAAATTCTCTTGAGATTTCTTCTTTGCCCCATGTGTTATTTAGAGGTATGTTGTTTAATCTAAATATGTTTGGGATTTTCCAGCTATTAAAGTAGAACTTTATGTCATTAATTTCAATATATGCATTCAATGTTATAAATTTTTCTCTAAGTATTACGTTCACTGTATCTCACAAATTTTGATAAGTTGTGTTTTCATTTTCATTTTGTTTGAAATTTTTTAAAATTCTCTTGAGATTTCTTCTTTGCCCCATGTGTTATTTAGAGGTATGTTGTTTAATCTAAATATGTTTGGGATTTTCCAGCTATCTCTCTCTTATTGCTTTCTAGTTTAATTTCACTGTGGTCTGAGAGCATATTTTGTATGATTTCTATTCTTTTGAATTTGTTAGGGTGTGTTTTGTGGCCCAGAATGTGTACATCTTGGTGAATGTTCCATGTGAGTGTAAGAGGAATGTGTGTTGTGCTCCTGCTGCCTTAAGTATTTTACAGAAGCCAGTTAGATCCAGTTGACGGATGGTGTTGCTCATTCAGCTCTGTCCTCACTGGTTCCCTCCTGCTGGAGCTTTCAGCTACTGATGGGGACGTATTGAAGTGTCCTGACACGACAGTGGATTCATCTACTTCTCTGTGCATTTCTATTAGATTTTTCGTATCTCTTTTGACACTCTGCTCTTCGGCACACACGTTAAGGTTTGTTGTGTGTTGTTGGAGGATTGACCCCTCTATCCTTATGTGATGACACTTTTTATCCCAATAATTTACTTTGCTTTGAAGTCTTTTGTCTAAAATTAATATAGCTACCGCAGCTTTCTTTTGATTATGTTAGAATGGTATACCATTCTCTATCTCTTTACTTTTAATCTGTGTGTCTTCACATTTAAAGTTTGTTTTTTGTAGACCATTCAGTGCTATTTAGATGTAATTTGAAATTTTAGTAATTATCATTTTCTCGCCTGCTAGGCCACTCGTACCCATCTGACCATACAGTCAACCCTCATTCATGGATCCCGTGTTTGCAGATCTGTCTACTCACTAAAATGATTTGTAACCCCCAGATTAATGTTCACAGTGCTTTCGTGGTCATTTGCAGATGTGGAGAGAGGTGAGCAAAGTCAGTCATTAGAGTGCATGTTCCTAGTTGAGATCAGATGAGGTAGGACACTCCACCTTCCTATTTTTCCTATAAACAAGTGTCTTTTTGTAGCCTATTTCGTGCCACAATTTTGCATTTTCATGCTTTTTGTTAGTGATTTTGCTGCTTAAAATGGCCCTGAGCATAGAGATAAAGTGCTGTCTAGTGTTCCTATGCACCAAAAAAAAGAAAAACGTGTTCAGGAGAAAATGTGTGTGTTCTGCAAGCTAAATTCAAGCATGATCCATGAGCTTAATGACAGATCCAGGAAAGAAAGAAAAGAAAATGGATTGATCTGTGCAAGAGGCTGCTCGGAAAATGCTAACGTAGCATCTATTCTATGTTATGAAGCTGTGGAAAAGATGGAAAAGTAGCTCAATTTGTGGGTTCATGAGATGATAACTGATAATAAAAATAATAACTTTTTAAAAGAAGCACAGTGGTCAGTTTTCTTTCGAAAGTAGTGGTGGCCGGCAGGGGAGACAATTTCTGCAGTTCTGGAGGCTATCGAGCTTACAAAAACGTCTCCTAGGTGTTACGCAGGAAAAGGATAAGTGCGGGTGAAACTGGCTTGTTTCACAAGGACATTGGCAAACAGACCTGTAATGCAAATGACGTTTCAGTTAACAAAAAAATATTATAAACGGAGGGTTGTGGAAACCTAACCCTGTATTTTTCCCTAGGAGCAATAGTTCAACACTTACTGATTCAGTGTTCATGGCAACTTTGTAGAATATAAAAACCACAAAGAACAGGAGTTGACTGTACAACGTAAAAGCCTATAACACTGCAATGGTTCATCATGCTAGGATTTTCTGTTAAAATCAGAAAATAAGGATTATCTAGAAATCCTGTCCCAAAGCATTAGGGCAAGAAAGAGAAAAACATACAATGATTTTAAAGAAGAAATCAAAGTTGTTCATATTTGAAGAAGATATTTTATATCTAGAAATCCAAGATAAATAAAAAGTTATTAAATATTACAACAGAGTTTATTTTTCTAGCTATAAGGTAAACATAAAATTTAATATGTTTTTCAATTAAGTAATTATGTAAGAAATAAAATTAAAATAATATAACTAAAAATATCAATGGAAATGCAAATATGAGTAGTTTTAGAAAAATAAAGCTTCTTGTCCTTAGGAAAAAACTCTGTAAGTCTTCATTGTCTTTTAGAAAAGAAAAACCCTTAGGTAATTTGGCAGATGCATCGTGTTAGTTACAGAAAGACAACTCTTACAAAATTGGTTTCTACTGTTGGGTATTAAAGTGGTTTCCAATTTTGGATATTAAAAATGATGTAACAAACATCTGCATATAAATTTTTGTTCATATCTATGATTATATTTCTTCAGGATAAACTTTTAGAAGTAGGAAAAGTTGATTCCTAAGTTTACAGCTATTTTAATTAAAAATTTTTAATAAAATTTTGAGATCCATATAAAATTATTCTAAAATATCTCTGGAAGGAAAAATGAACAAGAATTGCTGTGAAAACTTTTAAAAATAAAGAGCAATTTAGTAGGGTAGGTTGTGGATATTCTCAACAGAATAATAACAAAAAAATAAAAGACAATAATTACATAAGTGTGATGATAATAAGAAGAAGGCAATGAAAGTAATTGAAAAATCTTCTATTTATTATTAAAAGTATGTTCATTTTGTAATATCCATCATACAGTTAACAGACTCCTCTACAACCACTTATTTTCCTCTGAGTCCAGGCGTCCCTGGGTCTAACCAGGTTAGACCCAGATACCACGTTTCTCTCTATGCCTTTCCGGTGGCGGCTGCTCTTCCTCTTAGAAGCCATTAATTCCAGCCTTTGCAGCCGAGCCTATGCCTGCCCGACCCGATCTTCCCAACCCCCTTCTCCCTGGCACAGTCACCTGTGTAAATCCTAATCCCTTGCCCTCATTCACTGCACCTGACTCACAGCCTGCCTCTGATACTAAACCCATCCAGGATGGCTTTAATTTCCAAATAGATGATTTGCTTAACATTTTAGCCTTTCAATGCATTTTTCAATTCTCCATTAAGCATCTCCTCTTATCTAAGAAAAATTACACCAGGCAGAATTAAACAGGCTAGGAAGAGTTTATTCAAGACTATTGCAATAGGGGTCAAGATTATTGCAGGAGGTGACAGGGATTGAAGGCAGGAGAGTTTTTCAGCCCTGGGTGAGCTGGTGGAAGAGCACGGGAGGTTGCTGGACCGGGCATTAGTGATTAGGCCACCTGTGGTTGCTAATTGACACTTAAAAAGTCAGGCTCCTACCGTCACGTAGACACTGGGAGATGGGGGCTCTATCTTCCTTGATTATTACACTTCAAAGAGAGAGCTTCCAGATCCTTGAGAAAGACATTTCTGGGTTGTAAAACCGGGCAAGAGTCTGGGAGAAGATTACATAGCTAAGGGGCAGAGAAAGAATTTACCATTGTGTTACCGAAGGTTTGGTACTGGTCTCCTCGGCCAAGAATGAAGAGGAGGAAAGAGAAGTTTATTAATTTGCCGGTAAGTGAGAAGGATGGGAGACTCTCATCTGAAAGTACCACCGTCCTATCTATAAACGGAAATGCAGAGCTTTTAAAAGGAGTTCTCAGCTTCAGGCTGTTGCTGTGTGACCGCGGCATCTCCGGTGAGGACGATCTCCTGCGGCACGAAAATACAAAGGACACTCGCTTGCCCTCCTGATTACTGGCCTTGGGCGGGGAGGCAGGTTTTAATTCCCAAAAAGAGAGGGGAGTGTGGTTTAAAGAGACAACTTGTGAAACATTTTACCCTTTTTCAGGCCGTTCCCTCTGTTACAATTGCAAGTTTTCTAAAATGCTATAAAAAAGGGAGGTCACAGGCCCCTCGTTAGAAAGAAACCTGTCCAAATGTGGTCGTAGGAGGGAAAGGTTAACAGCTTGGTCACTCCACTATGACTGTAAATGGAGCTCCCTTTATCTAAACCAGTTGGCACCACCTGGTCTGTCGGCTCGGCGTGTTGGTTCAGGAGGAATCGAGGATGTGCGTTCCAGCAACAGAGTCTGTACTGCAGGCAGGAGAGACCCCGTTCCCTGCAAACCGTGACAGGTTCCCACCGTCCCTCGGAACTGCACGGACACCGCAGGCTTCCCTGCTCCCGTCCCCGTCGCTCCCCCTCCCCTGGAGGCCTGACCCAGAGCAGGCGTCTTCGCCTTGGTGCGCGCTCCCTGCGAGCCCCGCTCCGGCTGCACCGCGAGCAAGACGCTGTCCCCGCTTAAACCTCAGCGTTCCAAAGCCCCTCCCCGCACAACACACGCACAGATAAATTGATTGATTAGACATTAACCAGCCTGAAGGTCAAGGAAGCCTTTTTTGGGTGGGGTACAAGAGTGGTTGAAGGAAGACTGTATTTTCCTTACAACCCTGTACTTTCTACTGGGTCTTTGTAAAGGAGGGAGGCACTCTCTGGTAATAGCACTAAAATTAGAGATAGGAAGAGCCTGGGCTTCATCAAGGATTGTTATGCAGTTTCCAACTTTGGCTAAAATTGCTGTCTGCGTGAAGGCGCCATCAGGGATAATGCCTCGCATTGGTTTGGATCCTTAGGCGATGGGTTCTTCCTAACCACAGAGTAGCAACTTTGCTCATCGCCAAATGTCCTTCTCTTGCAGACTGTGACAAAGACGCACTGATCGGCACCCTCACCCAGCGCTGCAATGCGCAGCGGCAGATGATCGCCGAGGCCTACCGCGACATGTACGGCCAGGTACGTCTCTTCCTCTTGACCCGTTTCTAGGGCAATCTCCCGAGAGCTAGCAACTCTCAGAAAACAGAATTATTATTTTTTCAGTCTCACAGACCACAAAGATTTCAGACCTCATTGTATGTCAGGAACAGTTCATTCCTCTAACACGTTTCAAGGAATGAAATGTATATCACGAAATGCATGTATGTGTGAGGGATGTTTACACAGTGCCCAGCAGTCCTTTCCCGAAAATCATCCAGCATCCCCACGTGCAAAGTCTGATGACCTCGCGCTGCCAGGTGGTCCAATTAAGCTGAAAGTGTCGTGCCGGAAACGCCCTGTGTCGAGCTGCAGGGAAGGCACAGAAAAAACTAATGATCACCAGGTCAAAAAATAACATTTTTTCCTACAATTCTCTGCAGGTCCTCACCTAACTCTCAGCAAAAGAGAATTCTCTAGTAGCTTTTCTTCTCACCAGCATGCAGTTATAGAGACCATTAAAAAAGAATGGCAGTTTAAAAATACTTTAAGGCAATAAAACTATCCATAGTGTTTTAAAGTAATCACATTCTAATTTCAAAGCAAGCGCCATTAAGGATTCCTTGCTTTTGTTGTGCATTTAAACCACAGATTCAGAACAAAAACTCCGTAGGCCACAGGGGCCTGAAATACCAATTACTTTTCAGCTGAGCACTATGGATAAAACCCTACCATAAAACTTTCTCTATAGAGTTACTCCACATAAACTGACTCCGTCTCTAAACCCCAGTCTTCGAACAACTGTAATACATGAAATAAAAGATAGCTGTTGGTTTTAGAAAGAATTAACAATCCAAGTGCCACGACTAGGAGGAACATTAATTGAATTAAGCCAAAGACAACGACCAGATACAGCCTTTTTTACACATAAAGCTGTTAGCTTAGCTTATGTGGCCAGGACACAGTGCTAGTTTTCTTTTGACAGAGAACATAAAAGCTATAAAAGTTCCATCACTGATAATCCAACACGGTCTTAACATGCATGGTGCTAGAAGGGGTGTCATCCTTCAGTAACTTTTGTTTTAACCCAAAGGTTTACATACATCTTTGCTTTTTATGTATCAGATTACATTTAGGCTAAAACGGTACTTTATCAAGCTCTACAAATTTACACTGAAGCAGATTAAAGCAATGAAAAAATGAGGTACTTACACTCGAGGAATTTAAAATCTATTAAAGAATTTATACTCTAGCAAAGCACTTTTCCCTGTGGACATATAGGGTCTTGCGGTTTATTGAAATCTTTGAAGATATAATTTCAATTTTTTTCTGGCCTTTATTGATACTTATGAGAAATCTCACATCGAGAGGTTTTTTGTGGATGGTTATTCTCTGGGTGCTTTTTAAGAAGTTTTGTCTTTGGGATTCTGCAATTTCGCTATTGCGAAATTGGTTTGGGTATTTTATTTTAAATAGCTGAGGAGTCGCATATTATAGATTCGAAATAGTGTGTTTCTGGTGTTGACCAAAATGAAGGCTATCGCAGCAGAAATAGTTGGATGAAGGTTTACTGGAAGCCAAGTGTGAGGACGGACCAGGGAAGACCCCTAGCAAAGTTGGGCGTCTTCCAGGGTCTGTCATAGTCGGAAGGCTTTTGTAAGTTCAGGAGAAGGGAGGGTCCCCTCACACCAGAGCTGTCCTTGTCACTGGAGGATGCAGTACAGAGGTTACAATCCTGGGCTACAGATTGTCACGTCCAAGCTAAAATGTTCCATGTGCAAGACAACCAGTACAACCTTATGATTCAGAAACAAATCAGTGTCCTTTTCCGTGTCAGTGGGTCGCGTGTTAATAGTAGGTGCGTCAAGAGTTTGAGGGACTCACAGTAAAAGTCTTTACTCAGGGACAGGACGGAAGCCACCAAGTATAAGGCCACCGAGGCGGGTTAAGTTGGAAGCCTGCCGAGCGTGACCTGTAGGTTGTCGCTGGCCTTGTCTGCGTCTCTCCTGCTGTAAATCCCATTAGACAGTAGTTCTTCCTCCTCATTTAGTCTTCTGACTCTGTTCACCTTCCATTCATATCGTATATTTCTTGCCTAGCTCTATGGAATTTTTTTGTCATTTTTAAAGGTATTTTTCCAATTTACTAATTCCAGTTTCAGCTGTTTATTAGATACCCTTTAAAGTATATGTAGCATTTTAAAATTCTACAAGTTTCTAATTTCTAGAATTTTATTTGCTTTTTTCAAGTCTGGTTTTTATAGTGTTCCTTGAGATTGCTATGGATTGTCTCAAATTCACGGGATTTTAATTCTGCCATTTTCAGAGTCTACCCTCTGTCACCCTGGGAAATCGTTTCTAAGTACACATCATGGTATTTTTTCTCGTGAGAACTTTCAAAAGGAGGCTTTTTTGTGCAAATCTTTTTTTGTTGTCCTGGAGAGGTGGAGAATTTCTAGGGATGGGTTTTGCATTTGTTTCTTCCTGGTGTTGAATCACCAGCTCGGGACCAACCTCCACGGTAATCGCTCTTCGGAGAGGGCTCGGTGATTTTGCGCAGAAGGAATCTGAGCTTCAAGCCCAAGGAAGACACAGCTCTGTTGTTTGATTATCAGGGAAAATGTTCTCCTCAAAAGCTAGGCAGTGAGAGGAGAACTTTTTGTCCATCCTCCAGGGGTGAATGATAATTTTTCCTGCTTCACATTCCTGCGGGGGGCGTGGTCTTTTGAGGGTCCCCCGCATGTGTGAGGTCTCATACCTAATCCCTGTGTTACGCTGTCCCAGTAAACATTCTCCTGTCCTCACATAATGCCCCAAACTGGGCATTAAAACCCAAACCAAACAGTTCTCAAAGCCAACCTGTTACCTGCACGATCATCTCCAAGGTCAGCCCATTTGCTTGTCCTCTGGTCTCCATTGTCCCATGTTTTTATACCCAGGGATTTCTCTTTCTTCTGAGATCACGTCTAGTGTTTCAAGAATGGTTGTCATATTTTATCCTGGTGTTTGGAGGAGCGGATTTTAGCTTTAATATACTATGTTTCTCTAGAAGATCAAAGTGTTATCATTATCAGCCAAAGCATAGGAACCCACATTTTCACAGCAAATGGTATCATGAAATAAACTAAAATATCTGTAAAATGAAAGAATATTAACTTACCACTGCAATGTGACAAAGAGCTTGCACAAATGCTTTTTATGATATAAAATCGTGCAAGCGTTTACTCAGTGACTGCTGGAGTGGGTAAAATTAAGACAGATTCTAAGTTTTACTTTATATGGTTTGCATCATTGACTGTTTAAACAGCCAGTATCATTTTTTATAGTAATAGAAAAAGGCATATGGGGTAAAAGCACATGCAGCTGTTCCCTGAGCATATTCAGACAAGCAGTGTGAGTCCTAGTTCCACTTCTCGCCCGGTTTACCCGTAGTAAGATGAAGGTAAGAAGAATAAGGAATAAGAAAGTGCCGTTTTATCTGTGGCTCACGTGGAGGGGTCGCAATGGCTGCAACACGAGTCAGCTGCAGTTGCCTCAGAAGCACAGAACAGCTCAGTTTGCAAAGCAAGTGCTCATTAGCTTCACGCAAGGCCAAGCTGGGATTCCAGCAGGTTCCGCTTTAGGGCAGGTCTTCAGAAACCAGGAAAGCAGAGGCAGTCAGACTGGGGACAGTCACACTCCAACAGTTGCATTTTAAAAGTTATTTGTATGACTCCGAGTGAGAATTTAGACTGTAATTAGAGAACCTATTTGAAGGCTCTTCTTTGAACTCGCGAGGTTTAGTTATTTAAACATGTTATTCAACATTTGTCTTCCCAACTGAAAGTAGCATCTCCTTGCGGTTGTCCTGGTAATAGGATCCCACGGTTGGGTTAAACGGCCTGTCAAAAGGGTGAGCAGTCAGTCCCACGGTCACCTATTATTTATTTTAAGTTTAAATTTCATATTTCCTCTTCTTCTCTTTTCTTATCCTCTTTTAGACTAATTCAGCTTTCATTTGGATCTCATTTTAGATCTGCTTTTGGCTTATTAGCTATACTTTTGTGTTTTACTTTTTAAATTTTGCACTGTGGTTTGTAATATGCATCCTTAATTTATAAAAGTCTATCTTTACATAATATAATAATTTTATATAAGTTAAAAGCCTTATCACAATATGATCTCATCTTCCCATGGTCTTCTAAGCTATTGTTGTCATATATTTTTCTTCTACACATTATATATCCCATAAGATGTTGTTACTACTTTTGCTTTAAACTGTATGTAATATCTTTTAAAAAGATTGCAGAAAAAAAGTTAAAGTCTCCTTTGTTTACCTACATATTTAACAGTTTATATATACGTGTTTATATATATGGACATATAGGGTCTTGCGGTTTATTGAAATCTT